CACACACACACACACACACACACACACACACACACACAATGAGACAGCCAAATAAAATAAATAAAATAAAAGCAACTTAGCTACAGCTCTGAGTCTGGAGCTGGAGCTCTGCTCAAATGGCAGCCTGGTGAGGCGAGGGAGGACTCTCTGGGAAGATGACCTACCCAGTCTGTGGTGGCGCTCAGCATTCCTACCCATAGTCCCTCAGCTGATGCTGGGCGCACACAGGCCACCCCGGACTGGAGGCTGGACACGTAGGGCCTTGGAAATTAGAGATGAGCGTTTCGTGATCTGCTAGATCAACACTTTTCAACCTGCGGGTCCAGACTCTGTGGGGGCCGAGTGACCCTTTCACGGGGGTCACCTAAGACGGTTGGAAAGCACAGATAACTTACATTACAGTTCATAACAGTAGTGAAACTACAGTTATGAAGTAGCAATGAAGCCGGGCGGTGGCGGCGCACGCCTTTAATCCCAGCACTCGGGAGGCAGAGCCAGGTGGATCTCTGTGAGTTCGAGGCCAGCCTGGGCTACAGAGTGAGTCCCAGGAAAGGCGCAAAGCTACACAGAGAAACCCTGTCTCAAAAAACCAAAAAAAAAAAAAAAAAAAAAAAGAAAGAAGTAGCAATGAGAATAATTTTATGGTTGGGGGGTCACCACCACATGGGGAACTGTGTTAAAGGGCCACAGCGTTAGGGAGGTTGAGAACCGCTGTCCTAGATGGTCTTGAACATAGACACTTTTCAGTTTTGGACCACAGTCTTTGGTGACAGGAAGCCTAGAGTGGAAAGGTCAGCCCTACCACTCAGTGGTGTGTGCTCACCACTGCAGAGAAGCTGTTGGCTACTGAGGTTAACAATACACAGCTAGTCAAGTGATGAAGCACACACTCAAACCCAGGCCAGTGTGCAGTTACCCGGCTACTTGTCCTCTGGGCCTCCCCGTTCTCCATCTGCACGCTGAGGCTGGTGGTAATGGACAGAGATATTGTCTAAATAAACACTTCACATGGAATGCCACTGTCACTCCCACAAAGGATCCCGGGGTTGTTATGTCTCGCTCAATCCTGCCATGGAAGCTGGGATCCAAAGGTTAAGCTGAGTAAAAACTATCACTAAGGGGTCTCATTGTATTTATCGGAGACAGCATTGTGGCTTTCCTTCATGAAGACCGAGGCCAGAGGGGAATGAGTGCTTGGTCTCTGTGTGTTAGTGAGTCTGGGAATCGGTGGCTTCAGATGCGGTGTGATATGGGGCGGGACTTAGGGACTGGAGAAGTGGGCAAAGGCTGTGGCCGGGGCTTAGCAGGTGGGGCCGACAGTAAGCACCGAGGAAGGGGGCAGAGGAGCTGAGCTGTTCCCCTCTGGATGACGGGAGGACAAGGAGATGTCAGCTGGGGCCCTGGGGAGTGGGTCAGCAAGCAAATATGGCTGCCATTGAGCCTGATCGTCTGCGTTTGATTCCCAGACTCAGAGTGGAGGGAGAGGACCAACTTCCACAACTTGTCTGTGGACTTCCACGGGTGTGCCATGGCACATTTGCTCAAACCCCTCACCCAAAATAAACAAACAAGTAAATAGGTCATTGAGAGAGACAGAGACAAGGACAGAGAGAGACGGAGACACAGAGAGAGAGAGAGGACAGAGAGAGGGTGGAGAAAGAGAGAGAGAGGAGAGAGAGAGACAGAGAGAGGAGGGAGGGAGGGAGGGAGAGTCAGATTAGGGAAACGGAACAAAACGAAACTTGACTTTGGCCTGCAGACATCAATTGGGTCTTCTTGGCAACCCCCAGTCTTGCCTTTTGC